AAGTTGTCATTCCGTTTGTAACTCCTCGAAATACTCAGGTCAGACCCAACAAAGTATATATATTCTTGATCAGCGTAAAATTAGCGATGTCCCTCTATCAGTCTGTCTGTCCGTCCGTCTGTCTGTCCGTCTGTCTGTCCGTCTGTCTGTCCGTCTGTCTGTCCGTCTGTCTGTTGTAATCACGCTATCTTTCGAAAGAATTGAGATAGAAGGCTACAATTTTACACACATGTTTATTTTGTCCAGTAGACAGGTTAAGTTCGTAAATGGGCAAGGTAGGTCCACGTTTTCATATAGCCCCTATATAACGGTACCTCCCGATATTTGGTATTTTGATAATTTTAGCAACATTATTCACCGGAGTAGTTTCAAATTACGTACCGAAATTGTTTGAGATGTTGTATTCCAAGTTTGTAATGGATGCTACAGTCTGAGACAGACAATTGTCTATGCTGCCCAGGCACAGCTCCGATATAACGGTACCTCCCTATATACGATATTTTGATTATTTTAGCTACAAGTTTTCTAATTTGAATATGGTAGTGGCTTATGACAAACAACGCCTATATAGGTCCACGTCGTATAGACCCCAATATAACGGCTATATTCCGTATTTTTAAAATTTTAACAGAATTTTTTGAGGATTTTATTTCTTGAAAATTTCCAAATTCGTTCCAAATGGTGGAGGGTATTCAGAGTTCGACCCGGCCGAACTTACTGCTTTTTAACTTGTTCATATTTGATATTTCAGAATTTCATAGCATATAAAAAATGTTAGCATCCAAAACAAACATTTCGTATTGTTAGAACAAGACCTATCATCTTTTGCACTCTATGTTGGCGATATTGAAGAATAACTGTGTTTTCATTGTTTCTTTGATGATGGTGGTGGTGTGGTTTTGAATTAATTAAATTTGTCTATGTTTTGGTGTGACTTTACATTGTATTTAGTTACATTATGAAATAAGAATAAAAGAACGTGGCTCTAGAACCCCAATTCCAACTCATCTCTGCAAGTACATACGTTTGTAAATGAAATATTTTACTTGTCATAATCATTTAAAATAAATACATAATCATCATCAACTGCCAAGGTTTCAATCTTCTGTTTTTTTTTGTTTTGTTTTTTATTTTGGTTACCAAACATGCTTTCATGAGAAAAGAAAAGAACAGACACACACATATACATACACACACAAATACCTTAATAAATTGCTTTTCTTGCTTTGTGTTTAATTGTTTATTGGTTGTTGCTGTTTGTAATCGAAAATTCAAAACTAATTAATTTTTAGTAGATAAATGCTAATTTTATAATTGAGATAAGAATTTGCTTTTGTTTTTGTAGTAGTAGAAGTTGTTGTTGTTGTCGTTGCTGATGCGGTTTACAATAATAATAATCATCATCATTATCATAATCATTATTAATACACAATTAGACAAAAAGCTATTACTTTGTAATAGTAATTCTTGTTGTTGTTGCTGTTTCGATGCAAAAGTAGTAAATTACATATTTATAGGTAAGACATTATGTTAAAAATGCAATTAAGTAATGATCGGTTGGTTGACTTGAAATTGAAAATTAAATAACAATTGTGCTAATATATAGGTATTATTTTTTTTAGATAATAATAATATTATTACAAGTACAAAACCCCAAAAAACGAAATGAAACAAAGTAATTGTAAAAAAGAGAACCAAACCAAAACAAAAGAGTTTATAAATATTTAATGTTTTTTTTTTTGGTTTTTGTTTAAATCTACAACAGAGCAATCAAGGAAACTATCTTCAGTTTTAAGTTGATTTTTTTTTTGGTTGATTTGGATTTAGTTAAGCGCAAACTACAAACTATACGCATAAATATGTATGTAGAGAGGCGGATTGCTTTAAAAAAAAATATGCAACATAATTAGTGACAATCTGCGTGAGAGAAAACAGAGAGAGAGAGAGAGAGAGAAAAAAGCTACATTGGAGACAAGAAGTGTATTATATACCTTGGGCGCCAATTGGAAAATGGAAAGAAAAAGGTTAACAATATGTGTTTTTTTAATAAGTGGGGGTCATTACTTTGATGTATCCTACGATGTTACTTTATATCGACAAAGAATAGTTCTTATTGATATTTAGTGGAAAGTATACATTTATCCTTTCGGGACAACTATTCATTTTAGCTCAGAGTATATTTCAATTATTCCCGTCCTTACTCGCGTTTTCCCATGAATTACAAAAACTGTTTTATCTTAGTTTATGGCAATATGGGTACTTCCTTACATTGTTGTCACAGATCTACTGGAGCAAGTTAAGTTAGTCTCATGGGGCAGTTGAATATATGCTAAATTTAAGGTTGGGGCCTACACCTAGACCCAGCTTTGTCCAGGTAGTTTGAGTTTATAAACTACAAAGGGTTGGTTTGTGGACTCCAAGGATGGTATTCAGAGAGTCAGCCTTTTATGTTTTCCCAAGTTTGTAAATCTCTGTTTACATTATTTTTTAATGGCCCTGATTGCGTGTATGTGGAGAGAATTAAGCTCGCTGAGAGCACGCATGCTTTCATTTGCCTGGCCCTGATTTAGAACAGCGGGGCTCACACGCACATACCACTTAAAAAATTTTGCCGTAATTGTACCAAATTCGGACAACATTCACATACCAAACAGGGGATAATTTACGTATTTCGATCGAAATGAATTTAAACATTTATATTTTAGCTTAAATAGATGGAAAATGTCGGCAGGAATAACTAAAGTTCGAAATTTGTTCGATATCGAATGTGAGAATTTGTCCCCAGATAAGAAATTGTGTGAAGCGAGTCTCAGAATACGGAACATTTTGTCGTGGGAAACTTGGAAAGATCAGGAGTGTCGGTCTATAAAAAAATGGTGGCTCTATAAACAAATTAGAAGGTAACAGTCGGTTTTGCCGACAGATGTATACCCTCGGTCAATGTTCGATTATTTAAATATATTTTGGCTTCTGTTATGATTATTCAAATTTGGAGTAGGTTCCGATGTTAATTTCGCGTTTTATGAGCTTCATGGATGTTCCAAAAATTTTGCGCTTTGTGGGGTAGATACCACAAGGAGTGGACCGATATATCCCATCATGACAGCAGATCTTGTGTTAGTAGAAATAATGGTATGTGTGAAATATGATCAGAACCGGATGCTTATTCCGCATTTTATACTGGTTTTGGTTATTCAACATTTTGACCTTTGTGGGGGAGGTTCCGGAAGGAATGGTCTGATCTCTACCATCTTTATAACATATCTTGTGTTGATAGAAATATTGGGATTTGCCAAGTCTGAATAAAATCGGATGTTAATTTCGCGTTTTATGAGCTTCATGGATATTCAGAATTTTGACCCTTTGTGGGGGGGGAGGGTTACCAGAAGGAATGGACCGATATATTCTATCTCCATACCAGATCATGGGTTAAAAAAATATGTCATTTCAAGACAATCGGACTCTTATATCACATTTTATAAGAGTTATAATTATTCAAAATATTGAGCCTTTGTGGGCGAGGTACTTGATAGAGTGAACCGATATTGTCCCTTTTCGCGCCTGATGTAGTACTGATGCAAATATTAGGATTTACAAAGTTTGGGCAAAATCGGACTATCCTTTCTCTTTCTGTGCAGTAATATATATATTTTTAACTTCGATCTTTTGTGAGGGTGGTAGCAAAAGGAGTGGACCGATATTATCCATCTCCAAACTAGATCTAAGTTTGATAATAATATTACGATGTACCAAGTTAGGACAAAATCGGATACTCCCTCGAGAGTTATCGAGTGCACCAGCCAGACCGACAGACAGACGGGCGGACGGTGGGACATCTCTAGATCGACTCCAAATGTCCTCAAACGGATTTAGCCTAGCAGTTGAAGAGCATGTACCGAGTTTCTAAAATGAACATCAGAGCCCTCGGTGCTCGAATTCACGCCGGCTCCAGTCCGTATTTATATTCGAAGAAACTAAAAGAATGTTCAGTGAAATTTTACAGAATTCGGTCCAAATCGCGTGAAATCAGTAAAAGAGAATTTGTGTCAAGCTTATTTTTTTCTGTTTTTTTTTCTGAAATCTTACAGATTTAGGTACGAATAAATATTTACCTTTAGAATTTGCCAAGATTTAACTGCAAAAGGCCTTAGTTCGTTAGTTCCGCTGATAATGTTAGGAAGTTCGGTCTCACTTGTATATGGCCAGCATTGTAGCTGTCATGGTATCAGCATCATGAGGGTCGTGTAATTCTTTGTATATTCACAACTGAATGTTAATCCCATATATTTACCGAACAGTGCCCTATTAAGAACGCCTATCCCTGACCTTTATTTCTGGTCGGCTACAAATTTCATTTAGATGGATTTTCTGAACTGCCGCTATCAAAATATTCTTCACAATGATAAAAGCCAGTATGTCATCTATTTTACTTCGCGGTCCGATACACTTATTAAAAAAAAATCCCGTAAGACTTTGGAACAGCAAAGTGGTGGTGTTACATGGGAATCAATTCTCCGACGAACAACGATGACGATATTAAAAAAAATTCTATGGAAAAAAATCACACAAAATCATGTTTTTGGGGGTTCTATATTTTCCGGGAAGAAATCAAAAACCTAAATGACTTTTTCTGTACCCAGGGAATCTATAGGTATTGAGATATATTTTGACACCTAGTCTAACAATATAAAAAAAGTATTTCAATTTCAGATACCAAGGGCACTTAACGAAGGTTGGTTTTGCTGCAAATTTGTCAAAGCTGTGCATTAATTGATAAATAAAGGCCAACTTGAAAATTCCTGCGCCTGCGGGTTACTCTTGAGCTATTTCTTGTGTCCATTGCTAAAAAAAACTATTTCTATTTTTCTTTTCTCGCTCTCTATTTTCTCTTGCATATTCATACGAAATGATACAGGTGAAAAATAATAAAAATTAAATTCTATTGGTTACAAAAAAGAAATAAAGAACAACAAATCGTTAAAACTTTTCAAACTACTTACGGTGCATATCCATGCAGTGTGGTACCAGCTGCTGCAGCATTAGCCGCTGCGGCAGCATTTGCAGCTGCAGCCATTGAGGCAGCAGCTGCCGATTGTTGCTGTTGTTGTGTGGTCGGTTGAGCTGTACCTAAACGTGCGGCATACGCGGCCATTGCCGATTGCTGGGGATTTGGTGCGGCCGTGGCCGTTTGGGCCAGTGACTGTAACTGCTGTTGGGCACTGGGCTGCAGGACGGCAGCAGCTGCGGCAGCATTAGCAGCCACAGCAGCATTTGCGGCAACCTGTGGCTGTTGATGAGTTTGCTGATGGTGGGCCTGTTGCAGGGCTTGTTGTAGACCAAGATGCTGTTGCTGGGCAGCCGCAACTGCAACAGCAGCCGCTTGACGTTGTTGCTGTTGTTGAGCGGCAACTGCTGCAGCCAGGGCTGGATTGAAGGGAGCACCCACCATGCCGACGTGTCCACGTTGTATGGCTACACCGCGCATAGCAGCAGCGGCAACAGCGGCTGTAGTGGCGCCATCATGTTGACGTTGTCCAATTTTTTTTTGTTTGTTTCCGTATCCGTTTGCAAATTGAATTTGTTGTTTTTTGTGTTGTATTGTATTGTTGTTGGGGAGCATGTTCGTCCAAACGTTCGTTTTGTGTGGATGTGTGAGTGAGTGTGTGTGAGTGAGTTAAAGGGAATTTTATGTATGGCAATATTGACGGGAGCAGAAATGTGGAGTTAAATTGAAAGTATTACAACAACAAACATTGACATTACATTGAGATCAAAGATTTGAAAAATGCAAAATTTTCACAGCAAAACGAAACAATAGAGCACATAAAACAAAACGATTTTTTGGATAAAAGGGATGAATTCAATAGTTGATACGTTGTTTGTTGTGTTGTATTACGAATGGTTTAAAATTGCGGCCCCGCATATTGATGGTAGTCGAACAAGATTGGTTGTAAGTGTGCATGTTTGTGTGTTTTGCAAAATAATGCCGGTTTTTTGGTGTTTTCCAAACAAAGTATATGTATATTGAAAAGAAAAGAAAAAAATACCATAAAAGGCATGCGGTTAGTTTTTGTTTTTTTATATTATTTGATTTTTTTTATTTTTATATGTTTATGTTTTTCTTTTTTTTAATAAAGTTCCAAACAAAATGGGCTGAAATTAATATTTTTTCTTAGCAAATAGTTTCATTATTAAAGATTGCAACGAAATTCTCTGACAAAGTTGAAAAAATATTTGAACTATCTTTCTAAGGTGTTTTGTTTCACTGTCAAACAGTTTGGCTCAATGAGTGCGTAAATAAGCTGAATTTTCGATTTTGGAATTAAGATTAGCTAGAAGCATTGCATCCAGAAAAAGTTACAGTTTTAGTCGGTTTATGGTCTGGTGCTATTATTGGGCCGCACCATGAAATGATATTCCATTTTTGTTGGGAGGCGAAATCGGTAAGCGTTTTATTTCATGTTCGGGACCGGTCGTTTGCGCGATTTAACGCCTTTAGACGTTTTGGCTTTGTGGGGCTATCTTAAACTTTAAGGCATTTATTCGTGAGATACCGGTCGAAATGATGGAAAGAATATGCCAAAATTGGACTAAACGGACGGACCATTTGAGGCGCAGTAGCGATCAATATTCACAAGAAATAATTTCCAAACATTAAGTTATATGGACTGTACTATCAATTGAAATAAAAATTTAATGCGTTTTTCACAATTTCATGATTTTAACTATCCTATAGCTCTTAAAAAAAATCACCCTCTATGTATGTAGGAGCTATATCTTAAATCTTGCGTAGTTAATTCAGGGCTGTATGTAATTTCTTCCACCTAATATTTATTCTAGTCGCAGAATGATCGCATCATCCAATTATGTATGTGGGAGCTATATGGAAATCTGAGCCGAATAGAATGCATATTACGGCTTTTGGGGACCTATATGTCAAATGCATTAAAACGTATATATATACATATATAAGTATATATATATATATATATATATATATATATATATATATATATATATATATATATATATATATATATATATATATATATATATATATAAATATATATATATGGGAGTCATAACTATACCCGAACCAAGTTGCTTCAAAATTTTACAGGATTTATGCTATTTGGAATTTTATAGCTAAGTTATAGAGAAGGGAGATTTGAGTATTTAGACGGGCATCATTAGTAACCCTGATTCTATATCGACTCCTTTTGTGTTAACATACTTTTTTATGGTAAAACTATTAAAAGAAAGAGAGTTTTGAGAGAACTGATTTGTCCAGAAAGTACGGGAAGTAAGAAAGAGTAGAAACGTTCAACTCCTTCAAATCCAACATTTCAGCCAATCAGAAACTAGCAACCATTCTACTAAAAAGTATTAAAAGAGAACGTCATATTTGTGTGTGCTCTCTTTGTTTTGCCTGTAAACTTGTTTCGTGTACTGGAACGGGTTTTAACCAAATTGTAAATCTAGTACAATGTAGTACTATATTGCAGGTTCTGAGTCACAACAAATGCGGAAATCGAAATTTATAGCTCAAATCTTAAATATTTTATTTTAAATTCAGATTTTATCTTTTATAGAAATCTGATTTCTGTCAAAAATACTTTATTTTGCATTTTTGTAGCATATTTTTAGGTGGCCGAAATTAACATAAACAACTGAGTTCAACAAAGTAGAAATATTCTTCTTGTCTCTAACTATCAAAAGCTTTTAATGATGACCTTCTACGCACTATTTTCTTTAATTTTTCTATAGTTCTTCGCAATCAGACCAGAAAATTAGGCAATTAAATTTGGAATCTGATTAAAACATTTACAAAAAAACCGATTTTGTTTGGAAATAATACCACCTAAAATTAGAATTAAAGTTGAGTATGCCTTCCAATTAGATGGAGAGAAAATAACTATAAATATAACACAAAATTATAGAAATTCTCAGATTTTTATTTTGTGTTGACATTTTGCAGAAATATTTACAGAATTAATTTCATATTTTCATTCATTACAACAAATAGATATTTATATCATGTTGCTTATGCTTGAAGAACATGTGGCAAGAAACAAATGGTGAAATAATATACAACTAAACAGAGAAATAAGATTAAATAACATAATCTGACAGGAACACAAAGACACATATTGATGCGTAATGAAAAAAAAAAAAACACAAAATAAAGAAAAATAATAGGAATATAAATATAAATATAAATATAATGACTGAACAACACAGTTATTTTACAAAATTTAAAATAAATAATTTAACATAGCGAACTTAAACCATTATTTAAAAATAAAAAAATTTTAAGAATATTTACCTATTTAAATATGTAAATACCTATACATATGTAAATAACATTCCAAAAAGTTAACACACACACATTGCGATTAAACTTAAACTATGTTTAACGGGATGCTCAACTATATACATATTTTTTATATATTGGTATTTGTGGAATATTTTTCATTAAAATTTACAAATATATTAACGATAATTACATAAAACTTAATTTATATATATATTCTCATATGAACTTAATTGTAGTTTATAAATGGTTATCGAAAAGGTTTTAACCACTTGAGTAATATTGTATTTTTAAATAAATTGGAATTGAGTTCATAGGAAATGCAATTATTTGTTTTGTAATATTTGCGAACGTTTTTAATGCAAACGTTAAACGTTAATTTCATAAATATTTATGAAATTAAACAGTCGAATCGAAATCTCATATTTTCTATTTAGCGAAGCGTTTAAATGAACTTGTAATAAAATTTTCATTATATATGTATATGTATAAATATATATTGAATTTTTTTTTACAATAGAAAATATGAGATTTTGATCCGACCATTTAATTTCATAAATATTCAAACTTCAGACTACTGTCATTTGTAAGCCACTCATCCGACAGCTGTTCAAATTATTCCAGTGACACCTCAAAATATTCTGGAGGGTGTATTAAAGCCTTGGGCACGCACAAATTTTGGCCGCAGACCTTGGACATTCCAACAGAATTCAGCACCATCACGCTTAGTACGCGCCAGCCAAGAATGGTTACACAATGATGTTTCGCGCTCACCCAAATCTCCGGATACCAATCCGTTGGAATATTATGTCTGGAGTATTTTGGAAAGCAAGGTTGGGACTAAAAAATACCAAAGTGTCGATCACCTTAATCAAGCGATTCGCCGGTAATGGGCCAAAATACCGCAGAGCAACACTAGGGAAGCGTGTGACGCCGTTTGAAGGCCATAATTCATGCCAAAGGTGACCATTTCGTACTTTCATTCAATAAAATTAAAAAAAAAAAACGTAAAAATTATGGCGTTTGACTTTGTTGCAGTTTTTTATCTCACCCTGTATATTTGTGTAGTAGCAAACATTTTTTTTTTCTTGTAGTGAAGTTTTTTCTCTTCTACTTGTGTGGTAATGTCTGTAGTAAACAAGCAGAAAAGGAAATAAGTGGATTGCGATTCTCTGTCTATCTGAGAGAGTTTTCGTGCCATTGTGGATGAAATAAGAGCGTAATTGTTGTCTTGCCGTCGGGGAAGCAATGGAAATGTTTGTATTGTTGAAGGAAAGCAAATAATTTCTCATCCAAATTTCCTCTGAATATCGCTGCGAGTTCGGTCCGAAAGTCGGCTAAAACTACAAGACCTCCATCTGACACTTTAGTCCGACAACACTTCAATCACTTTCGGTCTGAAGTCGGAGCGAATATGCATTCAAAATCAAAAGTTTTAACCAACTTTCGATTTGAAATTTTGAAGATTTGGCTCCCTCCGTTATTTTTTCAAAGAGGAGAACTCGTGAAATCTCTCACGTAAAACAGAAGAGTGCCGAGTAAACTTTGTGTAAAACTCCTACTCTTCACGCGAGTGAGTGTGTCACTCGCGGGTAAAAAAGACAAAATCTGCCGAGACTCGTTAAATTGGGATTACAAGCTAAAGTTTTGGTTACCTTTTTTTTTATTAGCAAGAGGAATAGAGTTTGAAATAACGGCATAGTTAATGACTTTAACATCCTCTGTGATTTCACAAAATAGATTATTTGCATAAATGTATTACACATTCTTAATCTCTGTTGGGATTAAAAATAACCACAAAACATGAAATATCCTTCCATTCAATTGCAATTAATTAATTTTTATTTTCTTTTGTCAATTTGCAATTTAAATGCAATTAATTCACTGATTATTTGCCAAATCCGTTTTTAGCAACTAATTCACATAATTAGAGAAAATGATTTAGTTGCATTGATTTGCTGGTCGACATTGGTGCGGTGCTTCAAAACAATTACTACAATTTGTGGTCATTGCAGCGGGTTTGTAAATGCTAATTATTTACAATAGCAATAAACAATAAATGTTTAAAGGCTGTTTTTCTTCAGCGAGGATTTCAATTGTTTGCATGTTGTGCGTGATTGTTTTTTTTCTCGAAATTTTGAATTTCAAATTGCATAAACACACAATCAATTACGTTCTGCACAAACATAAC